TTCTTTTGTCAGATTTTTACAAAAAAATATCCCTCTGAAACACCTTCATATTGGGGAAAAAGACAAATATAACAAAGAGTAAGGCAACAAGGAAAAAAAAAAACAACAATAACAACACAATAAAAAACAAAGTCAGCCCTTAACACAAAGTAGCTGCAGAGTTTTCATCAAATAAAATAAGAATGGAAAAAAAAATGTTAAAGCATGTGTGATGAAAGTATCTCCCCTCATCCCTTCTCTTTGTGAGTTTTGTGCATGCGTTTTCAACGAGGTGTTCACTGCCTGGTTTTTTCATGCATATAAAAACTGACTTTGGTATGTCCATATTATATACATATATTTGTTGTCAGGATATATATTATATGATCATTGTATTGTCTTCGACCTTCCAACTAAAATTTATATATCTCTGCATATATATATTGGTAGCCATATGCATAAGTACAAATAAAGAGACCGGAGCAAAGAATTTTCTTCTCATATACGTCTATTCAACTATACTCAAAGTTAGATAGGAAGAGGCCGACAGATGCGTCTATACATTTGCACTTCATCCACAAGTCATCATATCCATTTTGCTTCTCAATAATTCGTTTCTACATTTTCCATTTTTTTTTTTTTAATCTTCTTTGCTACCTTCCCTACACTGTTGGGCACCGTCCTCTGCTTTTGCTTTACAGGGATGTTGCCATAGCGCCACTTAAGACTCGGGAATAGACGTAGCTTGACCCTTTCCCCCCCCCCTTTTTTTTTTGGCCCCAAGGACTTCGTGTCACACCGTCGCATTGCTCGGTGGCGATCCACTTGTCTTCGTCAAACCTAAAAATAGGGACGGTGGCACTTTTGAGACTATCACAGGCGTTTTGTCCATGTCGTCCGCGTCATTCATGTCGTTGCGGGTGCTAGTGACCACAACCTCTTTTTGAATAGAAACTGGCGGCGCAGTGCCCAACCTTGCGATATCCCTACTATTTTTCGGAGTGTCAGTTGCATTTCCATTTGAGGTTACATTGACCAATGACGCTGATGTCGTCCTCCTACTGGGACCACCTGAAGCAGAACCCTCAGGCTCTTGCTTCTCATTTTTGGGCACAGCAATGCTGCTCCCCATAGACTTTGAATCCGTTCTTCGTTGCTGTGGATGCCTCCTACCGCCGCCGCCTCTACCACTCTGCATGTCAACATCTCTTGCGGTAGCATGCAGTTTTTCCTTTAGGATGCTTTTAAATGTTTCTAACGCACTAGACTGCTTCTCAGGGGACCGCCCTAGCCACGCCGCCGCGTATGCTTCTGGGCTCGTATCAGTGACACGCGAACCGACGAGTACCGCCTCCAACGAACTAGGAAGTTCAAGGACATGGTGTCCCTGCCATAACATTGGCAACATCTGTAACGAAGAGTTATCTGTGACATCGCTCTTATGCCCACCATCAGCGGGCAACACGCTGGCTGGTTCGAAAATCAGGAATATACAGTTTGTTAAAGGCGATGCCGGCAATCGTGACTGACCAGTGAAGAACATTAACAGCCGACGTACTTCTTCCCCAACAAAGTCATCCTTCAGACATTTTCGCATGATGCGAGCCACATGGTCGCCGTATGGGAGATCGGCCAATTGAGGTAACGGGAGAAAAACAAAATAGTTTTCCCATCCAAATCCGCCCTTATAAGTTTCATCCACCGAGCTTAAGCCGCAGAGGACGTTTTGTACCACACGAGAGCAGCAATTCTTCAACAATGGACTGTGCCCAAGAGCTGTAAATTTAAACCCACGTGCCACTTCATCCCAGAACCTCAATGAATTCGCTTTGTCCTTGTCGAGGTTCATGATAATATTGGCGACTAAATCAGTAGGTGAAGGAGAGTCATGCGTCTCCGCAGAGGTACCATCATCGGAAAAATCGTCAAACATTCTTCCCATTCGCGTTTTATTTATTTCCTTAAATTGGGTGAATAAGTCTTCGTACACAAGCGTTAAGTTACCCATCTCTTCCGGTAGTTCCTTCAAAGATGCATTAAAGTTCAGCACAAATGCAATAAAATGAAACGCCAACGGCGCAATGCGTATTCCAAACGGCACTTCGTTGGCGACGCCGTTACCGAGAAGCCACCCAATTGTAAAGGGAAGTAAATGTAACCGGACGTTATCCAAATTGTATTCAAAATCAGGATTTGTCCAAAAAACCTCCTCGGACCCTGGTCTAATAAATAGCGGGACGCAGTGTCCCACAAGGTTGATACTTATGGGAGAAAAACCTGATGGAATTTCCACATTTCCACCAAATATAATCACATGTTCATCGTCGCGGACTTGAAGAGACCAAATAATTGCCCAACGGTATGTAACTTTACCTGATGTGTTCTTTACCAAGTTCTTGCTGCTTCGATTTTTATGAAGAGTACTTGTAAATGAATCTCGCATGGACCGCGATATCGGGTCACCAAAGGCTGATTGAGGTAAGGATGGTTCATTGGTGGCATTCTGACGCGCGATGTTTTTCCTTTTACCATCACCTTGTCCTGCTTCTACAAGAGCTTCCACATAGAGGACATCGCCTTTCTGCGGGTCTTTCAAGTTAGCGGCGGAACTCCATCGCACCAACGCACCTGCTCTCGATGCAAGCTCCATAATTTGCGCCGCGGAAAGCACGTCAGCCACTTTGCTAAGAATGTAGGGCGACACGTGGGCAAGAAGCTGGGGAATGAAAGTGAGCTTAGCACAATCAGTAATGTCAACAGGTGGCCTCATTTTGGAAATGCAATTTTCCGTCAGCGATTCATACATCATGCCGCAACGAGACCTCTGGAAGTCATTGTCAGACGAGAGAGGGGTTTCAGAATCAAATTCAGGGACAATAATGTCAGCAACAACTTTAGTGGTTGCATTGCGAACGACGGCGCGCTCAATACCTTTCACAGCACGCATAACCGAGCGAAGTGCATCTGAACGATCAATAGGGCGCATAATTCGCGTTTCCTGCTCTGCAACTCGACTGTACAGGAACAATATGGTTCGTATAGCCTCTTCATTCAGCGTATAAAGCGGGAAAATATCAATCCATCGTAAAATATTTCTTGGGCAGAATGCCCCAAAAGGAAGAAGACCCATGTACTGATACAAGGTGCGTAAGATATTTGCACCCATCACGGCATTTGTCACAGTATCTGTAGGGCCTCTTACATCTGACGGGAGTCTCAAAAGTTTCACAATCACAGTGGCCCAGCTCACGACATCCACGCGCAAAGCAGAAGTCAATAAAATATCCTCTGTTAATAAAGCATCGTTGGACCTATAAGCAGATGTACTCATTGCCGGCATGTTTGGTTGCTTTAAACGCAAAGAATGCTTATTCAATGCATTATCACCTTGTAAGCTCTTCAAGCGAAATACTTTCTCGTCAGCGGCAATGCTTCTTAACCCGCCAGCAAAGAGAAACATTTGCTTCAACAAAGCGTTAACAACAACAGTAATCGTTGGTGGGCGCCCTTCTGATTCCGTCCATTGGAGAAAATAATCGCTAAATGCAAACACATGTGGGTAGTGACGCCGGCAGTTTGTGAAACCATCTCCTGGCAGCTTCTCAAAACCCTTGCAGACGCTAATAACGTGCTCTGCAAGGCCGCGTAAGTCCAGTCCAACACCGTTAAGTGAACTCTTCTTATTCGCCCCATTATCCCTCTCTTCATCGGTTTTCCTCAGCCCTGGAACCGCATGTATAAATCGTGCAATATGGAGAAGCACCCTAAATGTGAAACACGCGAGTAATTCGGAAATTAAGGATGAGATGCACCTTATCGCGTTAATCAATTCCTCTGGAGAACTAAAACTTTTCACGTCGCTTAGCATCTTCACACGTTCCTCAAGTGAAACAAAAAAGTTAAACTTTCGGCTTGTAGCTGCAAGACATGAGATGAATGGCGCCAAAATAGGTTCCGAACAGTTATAGTAATCGTTCTTGGCGCTGACAATATCCACTGGAAATAGATCCAAGCATTCCTTTAGACAAGCCACCGTGGACTTCAAGGTGGTACTCAGGGATTTGTCAATTTCATAACACATTTCATCCAGCATTTTGAGTGAAGTGTAAGTGCTCAAGGCACCGCATGAAAGTCCAGCGGCGCTGGACAAGATAATCTCCAACATCACATTAAAAGGAACTGACTTGGACGAGTAAAAAAGGAACGGCATGTTCTCTTTAACAACGTCAAGGGTGACCTGCAGAGGGCTAGTGTCCAGAAGTAACTGCACTGAATTCATGTCAGAAGTCCACATCTGCTGTGAATATGTTCTCCGAGCGTTCAAACGATCTACGAGTTGCTTGAAAGTCACGCCAATTCTTTGATATTCAGCAAGAGATGTGTAGCCTGACGCCATACACTCCAACGTCCCCGGCGAGGTACGATGTCGTTTTTTCCATTCATTTAGAGCTCCTATAAACACTTCCCAGTTCCTGTCGGCCTGCGACACATTCATTTGAGGAGCATTTGACTTTGAAGCTATGCCTTTAGTTGAAAAAACCGATATCCCCGAACCCATCCTTGCGTTGTCACTTCCACGTATGTATCTTTGTACTCTTTTCACTCGTTGTTGTTGGCGTGTTTTTTTTTTTGATCACGTCCTACTTGGCCTTTTGACTTCCCTCCCCTGTGCTTGGTTCCCACACCAAAGAATATGCTTGCGTACACCTGAAAAAGACCACTTTTGGCCACAAAAGTCCTTTTCCCCTTCTCGCCCTTGTGTACTGCTTAGTGTCGTTTCTTCAAAGGTTAATGTGACACCAAAGAGAAAGAGCAAACAAAAAACAAATGACGACAGCAACGGCAGTAGCTGAGTAGCAGCGATGCACCAAAGTGGAAAAAAAAAACGAGAACATGGGTACTGACCAACACACATCACCTCCCCCACGATGCGATGGGTAGAGGCTCGCTTGACAGGAAGATGGCATGCGTATGTATACCAACATTTTCTTTCCTTCTCTCTCGCTGTGTGTGTTTGTGTGTATTTCTTCCTCCTTTATTTTTGCTGCTCTTCAGCTTCTTCTTTTTCACAATTCTCTCTGCTGTGGCGTTTGTATATTTTCATGCACTGTTCGTACTTCGCTGCTTCCTTCCTCCCTCCGTTGGCCCAGCGCGCCTTGACTCGCCCCTGTGGAGGCAAACCCCCACCTTTTTTTTTGCCTTCCACACAAATATGCACTTTACCTTGAGTCTTCTTTTCCCCTTCTTTTTTGTTTCCCCATACTTCGCTCCTTGCATTATAACTCGCGCGTCTTCCCTCCGTCAGAGGTAAAACTTTGAGAAGCTGCTCTTGTCCTTCCTGTACTGCACATTTTCTTTGCCCTTGACGAAGTCCGCCTGACACACCTTCATGCGCCGGTCTCGCAACGCCAACAAACCGGCCTCCGTGCATATGGCTTTAATGTCCGCCCCACTCATTTCATCCTTGGCGTGGATAAACTCAGAAATATCCACATCCTCTGCTAGCGACATACGACTGGTATGAATCTCAAAAATCATTTTTTTCGTCTTCTCGTCAGGAAAGGGAAACTCAATCTTTCTGTCAATACGACCAGGGCGAATAAGCGCCGGATCAAGTGTCTCAATACGATTTGTCGCCATAATGACCTTTACATCATTACAGCTGTCAAATCCATCAAGTTGTGTCAATAACTCCAGCATGGTGCGTTGTACCTCCTTCGCCCCGCTGCTGTCGGTGTCGTATCGTTTGGTACCAATGGCGTCAATTTCATCAATAAAGACAATCGAAGGGCTGTTTTCCTCTGCCACACGGAACAACTCCCGCACCAACTTTGGTCCCTCACCTGAATACTTTTGAATAAGTTCAGACCCTACCACACGCAGGAACGTCGCACTCGTTTGATTCGCCACCGCCTTGGCAAGGAGTGTCTTTCCAGTGCCAGGTACCCCGTAAAGTATGACGCCTTTCGGTGGTTTTACCCCCACCTCGTCGTACAGCTCGGGGTGGGACAACGGGAACTCCACAGCCTCCTTAATTTCCTGAATTTGTTCCTCTAGGCCACCAATGTCAGCATACGTCTCATCTGGTGCTTTTTCCACTTTCATGACACTCACATGTGGATCAGCGTTATTCTGTAATACACCCACAATATTGTGTTGGCGGTCATGCAGTAGAACACTGCAGCCAAGCTCTAGCTTCTCCTTGTCAACAAATGAAAGCATAGGAACATAATACTCCGATCCTGTGGTGGATACAATGGCGTGTGTATCATCAATAACCTCCTCAAGTGTACCCACCTCCAGCGGCATCCCACGCAATGCGTCCACCTTACTGAGCTCAGCCTCATAATGTGACATGGCGCCCTCCTCCAGGTTCTCTTGCGCCTCCCGCCGTGCTCCAATCGTTTTAAGCAGCTCCTCCTCAAGTAGCAGATAGTCTTTGCATCTCTCCAGTCGGAGCTGCTTGAGAAGGCAGGCCTTCACTGGATATATCTTTGGCAACTTTGCCGCCGAGTCCGGGCCGTGTCGCTTCTTCTTCTTGCCTATGTCAGAAGCCACGGGTGGCTGCCACTTTTGCTGCTGCCGCTTTGCATCCGTTGGAAGCTGCTGCCCCATTCCGCCTTCCACCTATTCTGTGTGGGTGGATGGGAGAAACGACGGGGGACACTTCTCTGCTACGCCTCTTGTAATAGCAAAGCAACAAGAAGGCTTCTGGTCACCCCACTCCCAGTAATGGTCGTCGTGCTACTCGAAGGAGTAAAGAAACCACAACAATTTATGTGTTCTTATCCCCGTTGAAGCAACTGCACCTTCCTCTCTAACTCGCTCTCCAGCACTGGATTTCCCTCTCCCCTCCGTTTCTTCGCGTGCGGCGTGCAGTCGAAGAAGGCACGCGTGCGTTGAAAAGTATCTCCTCTTGCTACCAATCTGCCACGCAAAGTATTCCACGGCCAGTAGCGGAAAAAAAAAATAATGTTGACTCCCTTATACAATTCAATGCAGATTATTTAAAACAAAATATTTTTAAAAAAATAGAGAGAAAGTAATATACAAAGAGAACGCACGTCTCCAGCTTATCCACACATGTCTTAGTGCAAGAATGGGAAACACACACACACACACACACTGCCGTGCACAGAGGAAGCAATAAATTCCTAAAACAGCTCCTCTCTTCTTCTCGCTTCCCCTCCCTCCCTCTGAACAATACAAAACGGAGACCACATGAAAGTTACCTCAGCACCTTACGCATGTGTTCATCTCACGTACGGTTGACTTCATGAAGCAGAAGCGCAGCTTTCCTTCTCAACGTCTCCGACGTGGAGATAACGCCATCTTGAGCACACAACCGCATCATCCGCGCCACGGCACGTCGTAGAACACCCGCCGCAAAATCCAAGTCCTCTTGAAGTGTCACATTTTTCATCGTGATGCCACCAAGCGACGCGCGTATGGCGTCTCCCGCGGGCGCTATCGCATCCGCCTTAGCCGTCGGGTCATTCCTGTCCTCAGCACTTTGGCTGCTTAGCATGAACGCTAGGCCAGCAGTTCGAGGGAGTCCGCCAGCAACCAAGTGGGCCAAGCATCTTTTTGTTCAAAGAAAGAAGAATAATAAAACGACCGTCAGACAACAGGAGAAGCGGCAGAAACACACACAAAAAAGTTGGGAAGGGACAATAATAATAATAATATTGTAGAAGTAAACAACAAAGCAAAAGCTGCAAGCGCTGTACGTCGCAACTCATTTAGGGAAATTGTTTCCGGCGTACCCTCTTCACATTGCGACACAAATACACTATCGATTCATTCTCCTCTTCCGGCCACCCCCATCACCAGTAAGCGTTGATGTATCACTGCAAGTGTGTCACGTGAGTCTGCAGAATCCCCAAACGCACACCACACACAAAACGTCGCAATAACAACATAGCAGACACACACACACACATGTGTGTGTGTGTGTGCGTGCGTGTGTGCATCATCTTTCAAAGACTTCTTACGAAGTAATAAAAACCATAAATTCTAATTGTGGAACGTGCGCATGGCTGCAGAGAGTCCCATGTCTTACCTATGACCCCCAAAGTGAAAATACAACAACACAGAAGACCACAGTTTGGTCGGGTGCACCCAGTAACCCCCACTCAACATGTGGTTTAATCCACACACCCGCATACACATATAGCCAGATGAATTCATCAAACAAACGCATGATAACTGGGGCATCGTTGCCAACTCACAAAGTGGCAGCTCTTGGGCTTCCCTGCAACCCCCGAACTCTCCTCCGCGTGTGGGAGGGGGGGGCGGGGGTTAGCAGCAGTAGGAGGTTATTGGATGGAAAGACAAAAAAAGAACTGCATTAGCTGCCCTTCAACGCGGTATCTTTGAAATAATAACAAAAAAGAAAAACAATTAGCCCGTAAAGAAACAACATAGTTGAAAAAAAAAAAACATGCTAATCCATTTACCTCAACCACCCTGTAACTTCCTTCCCACCAGCTTCAAACAAACAAAGCCTTTTTCCTTCTGCTTGTAGGATCCAGCTAATTAAGAACGTTTGTTAATGGTGCCACCTTCGTGTTTGACGTATTACAGTGCACATGTGAACGTGTACGCATGTGTGTGTGTAGTTTTGCTCCTAAATTGGGGGCCTTGCCAACCTTCCTTCTCATCCGCGCTCAAACACAAACATGATTCCCCCCCCCCCTGTTTATTTACGTTAATTAACTCACAGAGAATAATGGCGAGTAGATTTTTCTAGCTTTTTTTTTGTTTTGTTTTATTGTTGCCGTCATTGATTTTCCTCTTCTAATTTTCGCGTCATGCCGTTTAATTTGCCCCCCTCCCCCTCGAAATGACGGTGCCTAGTGATTAATTTACTACTACTTCTTCGTGGGGAAGACGATGGCGGGTTCGCCAGGGCGACATTTGCGCCGCGCCGCCCGGTGCTCCGGGTACTTCTCGTCGTCGTTGGCAAGAATGTGCACCGTAGGCACACCGGACAGCTTGCAGATATTAGACAGCACGCTTTGCAGGACCTCTGCATCGTTAATAGCGGGTGTTTCTGACAACGCCTCTTCGCCACATCGCTCCACATTTATCCTGGTGAAGGACAGAAATGCCATGACGTCGGGGATGATGTCTTTTGTCATCCAGTCCTCTTTGCGCGACATCGCTTCCTTAGAGAGGTTCACTGGGAAGGATTTCCCATGTGCCTCATATACGTCACGCAACAGTCGGAGTGCCCTAATTTGCCATGCGGAGTAGTTCATGGCAGTGTAGATGAACACCTCCTCGACAGGGCCACGTTTTTTCTGTGCCTTCACCACCTGAGAGCGAATCTCCTTCACTACATTAGTCATGACACGATTTGCCACCAGTATGGCGTACTCCACCGGCGCTGTTGGCTCAGGAAATAACGCGCAGACAACCGATGTCTTGTTGCCCAAAACATTTGTCCACATGTACTCCGAAAAGTGTGGAGCCAATGGGGCCAATAGTAGCGTCTGGACCTCAACATATCGATGAGCAAGGTCTGCATGTACCTGAAGATCGTCGCAATTCAACTTATATTGACTGAATTCGTTTGACAGTTCAAAAAATGCAAGGTTTAGCACGCCTCGAAACTGCATACCCACATAGAATTTTTCAGTTTGAAAAATGATAGAGTTAATGGAGTTGTTAAAGACCTTGTCAAAAATGTTGTACTCCCCGCCCCGCAGAGTATCTTTGTTGCGCAGCATCTCCTGTGCTCCATCCATTGCCGTGGTCAATTTGAGAACAAACCCAGTGGCGGTTTCACGAACAAAGTTCGCATCGTCAAGGCTATCACCTGCATCAGCGCAGGCAAGACGTGTGGCATCACTGCCGTATAATTCAATCGTTTCTGCAAGAGTCAGAAAGTTGCCCTTTGACTTGGACATCTTTTCGTTATCTACCTGAATGTGACCATTGGCAAAAATGGCTCTTGGCCACTTGCTTGTGTCGTCCGGCCAAATGGCTGCATGATTGTAGAGGAACATTGTCAAATGGTTTTGAATGAGATCCTTCGCAGAGCAGCGAAGGTCCACCGGGTACCAAAAGTTAAACTCTTGCCGCATCTTTTTTGCCGCCTCAATCGGGAGTCCATTGACCGCATGAACACTCTCTGGCGTGCCTTTACCAAGGAAAACATAGTCAAAAGTATCATCGGTAAACATCTCTGGTGTGGCACCCAATACGTTTTCCTGGCGCCCATCAAGGCTGTGTTTGTCCTCAGGTGAGGTATGAATAAGGTGGGCAATGGTGTAGTACGCCATGTAAATAGTTGAATCACTCAAGCTATCAATCAACATTGTTCCACTCGCATCACACGGAAGCTTCGTACCCAATCCAAGAGTACGGCTACATGGCCAGTCCGCAAGCCAATTTAGCGTTTCTTCAAACCCATTGCGCACTCCAGGGAAGAACATGTTCATATCCTCAAGATGCTTCATTACGGCCTTCTTCCACTCTTCTTTCCCATATTCAATGTACCACTGATCACATAATGCCACGACACACTCCTCACCAGATCGACTCATGACAAGACGGGCAGGTTCATAATAGCAAATTGCCCAATCTTTTTCGGTCAGAAGTTGCATTGTCTTAACCTTGGCAATAGGAACCTTTTCACCAGCGAAGGGGCCAGCAATCATAACACCTTGATAAAAACCCGCCTGGTAGACGGCTTTTTTGGCCTCCTCTAAAAGGTCTGCAGCCTGCGGTCCATTAATCTTAAGCTTTTCACACATATACTTGGCAGACTCACAACCCATTTCTCCAGGTATATCAATCAGTGGAATGATTTCAAAATTCACCCATTCATCTTTAATCCCCAGCTTGGCACGGTACTCGGGCTTCTTTTTAAGTTGCGTTAAATTAATGTAATCATCGGGGCTATCGGAAGGGACACTCATGACCACACCGGTGCCTTTGACATCCGTAATGGTTTGCATAGGTAATGTGTAAATAGTGGGGTAGGGGCAGAGTGGGGAGGAGAGGGGCAATCCCACAAGCTTCGCTCCCTCCACTTCAAACAACGGAGTAGGATCTGTACCCGTCGCGCCGTTGATAACAAAGTCTTGATAAGCCATATTCCGTGCAGCACGTGATGTCATGATGAAAATTTCCTCTTCACCAGCCCTGTTCTGAACGGCATATGCCTTGTAAGTGAAATTGGGGGAAACCCAACAGTTAGTCTGACCGCACACAGTCTCTGCACGCAGCGTTGCTGCAGGCAAAATGACTGTACGATCACCTATAATCCTGCTAAAGTTTGCAAATGCGGGTTGCTCTACTGCCTTCTGTACCTTCAGCTTCACAAGTGTATATTCCTGTGGCAGAGCACCCTCGCCACTTGCCCGATCATGATCAGCACAAGGCTGGCAGTCCATTGGTGAGTACACACAGTATCGCTTACCAAACGCGAGAAGGTTCGCCGCTTTCAAATGTCGAAACTGCCATGAAACAAAGCGGTCGTAGTATGGGTTGCGGTCCGTGGTAATAAACGAGCGACGAAAATCAATGTGACAACCAAATCGCTTTAAGTCTTCCATGGCAATTGGCGGAAAGTAATCCAGCCAATAAAGTGGATCAGCAAACTTTATAATTTCGTTGTCGGGAATGCCCATAGCGCGCATAATAATCCACTGTGGCTTTGGAGCGGCCGTCTTCCCGCGCTTACCTTTATATTGACCAATGGCAGCAACCTCATCCTTCTTCTCCTCTTTCGGCGACTCCACCACTTCTTCTGGGAATTGTGGTGGGTTGCCGTACAACTCAATTTCATTCTTGATCTTCTGTGCACAGGCCGCAATGGGGGTGCCGGTGACATGAAATCCGAACGGCCAAAGTGAGCGGCGCCCCTTCATTCGCCAAAAGCGGGATGCGAATTCACTCTTTGTCAGAGAAAACGCGTGGCCAAGGTGCAGACGGCCGTTCATGTACGGGTACGGAAAGGTGACGAAGAACTTGCTTGGAACTGGCTCACTCCTCAAGGGGGCGTTTTGTTCATGCAGTTTCTCCCGCGCCCAGCGCTCCTGCGCTGCGGCCTCGATGCTTAACAACTTATCGCGACGTGATGTCGACATTTTTGCCTCCTGCTCCTGTTACCGTCTTTCCTTCCTTCCTCCTTTCCCGGTTTGTTATTTATTTATTCCACTGGTGTGGAACTATTCCCTATCGCGTGTGTGCGTGTAGTGCCGCGCCGCTGCAGCCTTCAAGTAGGTGGAGGATGACAACGAAACTTAACCGACTCCTGCAGACACACACACACACACACACACACAAGCGCAACAGAAACAAAAAAAAAACGTCACCATGTAAGAAGGAGTCAAAAGAACCCACAAATAAAAAGGACAAGAAAAAAGCAATGCGATGCGTTAATCATGTGGGCGCCGCCACAACGCCCGGTGAGGGAACAAACCCACCCATAAGCACCACAGCAATAAATACGCAACGACATATATTGCCCACATACGTTTATTGCGGTTAAACAACACAGAGGGGCGAAAAAAGCAAAACGGTGTGGAGAATAACAAGGGTAAAGAAGAGCCCATCCACCATTTACTCCACAGGCTACAACTCAAATAGACCCCCCACCCCACCTCTCAACAAAAAAAAAGGACACCCATACACCTACATACATGCAAATATATATATGCGTATATACATGTTTGTGTGCATCCGCGTGAGAGAAGGCATGGGTAAAAACGTGTGTGCAGGGAAACACCTACAAACCAAAGAAAGAAAACAAACACACCAAAGACAAGAGCGAATAACCGTCAACAAAAAAAAAGGAAAAACGCAAACAAAAAAAGTGAAACCGCTGGCGGATAACAAAAAAAAAAGGGTAATATAAGACGCACCAAGGAAAAAAAAGTAAACATGAGATGCGGTAAACGCACCTGCACCGTAAAGGCAGAATTTGTTGAATTCACCACCTGCCTATTCTCACTAGATATATATATATATATACATACATACATATATATATATGCACTTGTGTGTCAGCAGTATTGATGACAATCTTAAATATGCGCACATCCCAGAAACACCTGCCGGAGCTTTTTTTTTCTTATTTTCCCTCTCTTTTCTCCGTCCTCTTTTGCACAGCCCATCATCCCACTCTCGATTACAATGATGCACTTCACACCCATAACCACAGAACAAGAACGGCAAGAAGGACAAAAAAACAAAAAATTCTTCTACCATGTGGCGTTTGTCGCACTACAAACAGTAGAAGAAAAAAAGTAGCACCCGCACGAGAAAAGAAAGAAAATCAAAAAGCAACAAATAGGGGAAAGGGCAAAGGGTTGTATGTACATTCACGCACCCCGAAAACAAAGAGCTAGTTACGTCATATTTTCAATGTACGTCACACACACCTCTTTACCTGTTCTGTTACAGCTGCTTCACTCATTCCAATGCTGCACTCTGACTCCGAAAACACCCACTCACACTTGCGGGCACGGAGATGTTCCCCCATCTCATTTTCTTTATTCCGCTTGACTATCCATCTTCCACAAATATTTACTCCTGCAAGGCGCCGCTATTTCGTGATGTTGTACACAATTTGCGTCGATGCTGCTTCCTCCATCCTTGCTCAGCAGCGCCACTCTCTCTCTCTCTTCCCCCTCACTTTTTCTTTCCAGTGCCCCAAAACTCCCGTACGTCCTTAATTCGTCTGTAATAAAACAAGGCGCCACCGCAACAACACACTGACTCATGCACAGCCCCACCCCACCCAACCTCACCTGGGTGGTGAGTGCCGCCTCACTGCAAGAAAAAAAAAACACCCACACGTAAACAGCAGCAACAAGTGAAATATTATGCGTGCACATACATACGCACATGCCCGCGTGCAGTATCACACGCCAATGCGGAAGCATAAGGAGGCAACAAAAAAAAAACGGACAGGCGACAGCGGCGGTATGTGTATGTGTGTGTGTGTGAAGATATGAGGTGCAACGAAACGTATGCGGGAAAGAGAGGCCTTCTGTCGCTTGATTGACGAAAAACAAGTAACTGTGAAATTAAAATGACAACATAACAACAAAACCCGACAACACTCATAACGGGAAATCGAACACAGCGAAGAAAACGTAATTCAAGCCAACACAGAGCAAAAAAAAAACAACAACTTCCACATAGGCAGATAGTGAAGGACCGAATGAAATAAAAGCAAATCAAAAAAGCAAAACAAAAACTCACTGTGCTCTTCTACTCGTTTCTGGACGAGCTATTCTACATAAGCAGCGAGCTAATGTTCTGCGTCGCGTACATCACGCGTACAGATTGGACATCGAAAATGACTCTCAAACCAACGAGAAGCACACCCCTCGTGCAGAAAGTGGTGACAGCATGGAAGCTGCGTGGCCACGTGGCCGACTGCAAATGAATCCAGACACACACAGCAGGTTAAACACTCATCTTCACGCGTTGAGAAACTTTGTTGCAACTCCTGTCGTGGCGACAGTGCCTCCTCTGTTCGCTCAGTCGTTACTCGACATGGGGACGTCACTCCAAAGTGAATTGGTTGCAGCACTACCCTTAGCTCTAGCAACCTTTCACGCGGTACACCACGTTCGACGCGCCCAATACTTTCCGCCAAGTCCAAAAGCTCCTCATACGACATATTGTCCACATCAGGAGAATGGGCAGCTTCAAAAAGATAACTTTCACTAAGGCGTGGTACTCGATGAGTTAAGGCAAAATGCAACGTGGCTCTTGGGTTGCGCATCTCCCATGACATGATTGGAGGCGGTGGAGGAGTTCCTGAGCGAGGACGAACAGAAGAAATAGATGGTATGACTGACGGTGCGGCTTGGGCGAAGTGACGAAATGGGCGAACCCATCCGCCGGCAGGAGGGTTCCCTCCCACACGACTCTGCTCGCTTCGCTGTTGCAGGCCAGTAGCTGCGGTACCACGGCGGCGGCGGCGGCTGCTCGGTCGATAAGTTAATCGCTCAAACAACTCCCAAAAAGCGGGATTTTGATGCCGCTGCCCCACCCGCTGCAATGACGGATCTATTGCTGCCATAAATGGTTCGCCAACAGTATCCCGAGGATACGATCGCATTTGCTCTTCTGGTTGATCCGGATATGGCAATGGCGGCGGCGGCGGTATCCCAGCATCATGTTGAGGAGCAGACGAGCCTCTTTCCGCCGAAAAAAGGGATGCGTGCAATACATTCAAGGCAGGTGCAGCCACATTCCACGCAGTTTGAGGGACTTGCCGAGATTGTAAGAAGAAACCGTGCATGTTTGGGTCCATATAATGCGAAGGTGCCGCGGTTCCCCCGTAACTCACAAAAGGCGGATATACACTGTTGCTTTGGGTGCCAGCTTTCTCACCTCGTTGCGATTGAGGTAAGCCATTCAAAGAATAGGGAACGGCAAAGCCAGGCGACCGACGGGCCACCCCATGCATGGCATCAAAGGGTAAAGATAACGAAGGAGAATGTTTAACACGCTGCTGGAAAGATGTCTCCGACGACGGCATTCTGCCCCCCATTGCTCTTGCTGATTCTACTGGTCCTCGCCCCAACACCGGTGTCGTGGAATATGGGAAAGAAGATGCAAACGGTGCATTCTCCGCCGGATTACCTATTGAGATTGGAGTAAAAAAATACCCCTGAGGTGGAGCATCTTCAACACTGCCAACGCAGACAGTAACCGCGTGACTGCTATCGTTGCTATTGTTATTGACGAACGAGGAATCCCAGCGAGGGAAAGAGCGTTCATTCGCCGTAGGTGGAGCCACCGTTGGCGCTGAAGCGTAACGCCCCCGCAGCTGCGTAAGAAAGCCTTCCCTGTGCGCCAAAAACTGCGAACGCGTGGGAGGATTGTTCGTCATTAATGCTGATCCCTGGTGAGGCATCGACACCCCCTGTGTGGAGGTTGTTGGCGTTGTTGCCGCGTGCAGCACGGTGTGTCCCCCTCTCACCAACGCATTTTGGTGCGCAGGGGCACCTCCTGTTACTGAAGCGACGTACCCAGGTGGTGAAATGGGTTGCGTACGTGAGAACGCGTATCGGTTGTCACTGGTTGCGTCACCCATGGTGTTAGTTCCTAATGGCACCACAATCAGCAAATAACGACACGTGTAAATTCAATTCGTGTTGTTTCCTCCTTGCTATTGTTACGTTCTTTTTCTTACAGGGTTCGTGAGTTCTCTTTACGAGACACCGTCTTTGTTATTCTCTCTCCGCCTTCTTAACCTCCCTAGCTTCCTTCAATGATCTCACTGCAATTGGATTCCTTCCTCCCTCTCCACTGCTACTCTTCCCCCTTTTGCTCCCAGCAGCGTAATACGAACGTGGAAATCACACTGCTCACTGACCAGACACACACACACACACACACAACAAGAGACGCACAAATACAGGCACAATTTTAGCCGACTCACTGTCTCTCACGCAAATGTGTGTGCGGGTACGTAGGTAAGTGCAACGCAATCTGTGTACGTACTTCCCTCACTATACTGTGAGCAACGGTACTACGGTTGGGTGCCTCACCTGAGCCTTCGCAGTGATATTAACGTGTTGTAACAGCGGCAGCGGTAACGCAAACACGAGGGAAATTAAAAGAGAAGAACGGAGTGGGGAGAAGTGAGAAGTTACAGATAACAAACACGCCTCCAATGAGAGACAGAGTGACAGAGCCATGGAAAGATGGAGGGGGAGGGGGGATATGCTCAAAATGTTCATTTTAATCGACAGTTGCGGTTTTAATTGAGTCCGATGTTTTCTTGTATTCCCCATGGGAGCAACCTCCTGTGTCTTGTTCCCGCCTTTCATGTCGACCACGTGAAACCAAAACAAAACAATTATCTTTTCCTTTTTGTTTGTTGTATGATGGGTGCCTTGCGTCATAAATTGATAAAACGACGGGGGCTGACACTAATACGCATACGTACATATAACTCGACCTGGGTCTCCGTGCATGCGTGTCCTCCAACTCATGCAAACACTCCTCCGCAAGCCTAATAGACACACATGCGGAGAGAGGGAAAGGAGAAAAAGATATATGTTAACAGCACAACGCCAATGTTGTTTCCTAATACCCCACCACCACCAAAAAAAAAAAAACCATTTCAATTGAGTGATAAGTAGTTTTCTCGGTGATCCTCCGTGGCGCATATGTGGGCGCCAATATATTCAGAATAAATGACGATAGTAATAAGATAATGGAAAAACTTAAAACATGTAAGTAATAATAATAAAAAAAAATGGGCTCCTCCGTGAAGAAACTCAAATAAAAAGAGAAAAAAGGGATCACACTCACGTCCTTTCATCTTCTGGGCTTTCCTCGTCCCCCAGCCTCGACAACAAGGTTGGAAGTCAGGCGCTCACACGTTATTTTGCAAATTTATTCAATCACCTTCCTCGCTGCAGGGAAACACAACATACGGAGACATATAAACGTGATGCAACACCACCACTGGCAGCCGCAAATAGAAACAATAGTGGTGCTAGTATTGGTAGTGGAATTGGTTGCAGATACACAACAGGCCCAAGAAGGGCTCAAATTTTCCCTACAGCTTTTAATGAGCCTCTCCGCCATCAGTGCAGTCCGAACAGCGGCAATGGTGGCGGCAGTAGACGTGCGGCCTGCAAACGCATACGCAATAAACCAAATATAAAATAAAAACGACGTGCAGTGAAAAAGTAACGGTAATGGCAGTACAACCACAGCAGTGGCAAATGACCAGAATTCCTAGTTTGAAAGGGAGGAAGCAAACAGTAGCAAACCCAAAAAAAAAAAAAAAAACAAAAAAAACCCCAAAAAAAAAGAATACTAAAGACGACTACAAAGTTAAAGTAAACAAAATAAAATAACAAATAAAAAATAAACGAAAAACAAACAAACAAACTAAAAT